CTTCCTTCCTTCCTTCCTTCCTTCCTTCCTTCCTTCCTTCCTTCCTTCCTTCCTTCCTTTCTTTCTTTTCTTTCTTTCTTTCTCCTAGGAAGGGTCCACAACCACGTGCAAAATAAGGACAGAGTAGAAAATCAAAGTCCTAGTTAGGTTTCAAAGAGAGAGAGATGCAGGTCGGCCACGTGGCACTTAGGGTTGAGCATTAGCTTGGCCCTGAGCTCCCCGGTAGCCAAGGTGAAGATGGAAGCTTGCTAGCTGTCAGGTGGAATTGGAGGGAGGCGGGGCAGGCTTCTTTTCCCCTGCGGGGAGAGTCCTTCCTCAGAGAACTGTAGTCTTGTGGCGACTTGCTTTGTGGACAAAGACTTGATATGTGCGGAAGGAGGCGTTTTGAGTTCCACCAGCAGACAGTATTTCCCATGTAAACCCAGTGTGCTTTTTCACCCTGAAGATAGGAGCAGGGAGTGAAAACCCTGGGGGCAGGTGGGCGATAATTGGGTGGGCCAGAGGAGGACCAGTCCTCCACTGGGCAGCACAGGGGGCCCCCCTGGGTCTGGATATATCGGGGTGTGGCGGGAAGGTGCAGCAGGGCCTTGAGGCTGAGCTATCCCAGGCTTTGGACACTGGCCACGTTTGGCCCAAGACTCCACTGTCTGTACTTCGGGTACCAACTCTCCATCATCCCAGGGCTCCCATGTCCTCATCTCTCTCCGTCTCAGTAGGCTCTCTCTGTCCCTCTCTGCCTCTTCCTTCTCCTCTTGGAGCTTTTGAGGCCAGCTCTGTCTGCCTCTCCCAATCCCTCCCCCTTCCCTGGCTCCAGTGTCCGGCCTCCAAGGGCCCAGGCAGGGCCCTGCCCTCCTCAGTTCCATCTCTGTCCTCACAGGCAGCTGGGCCTGGGCGCCTTCCCTGTGGAGAGCCGCTGGCGGGGCGTCTACGGCCCCTTCTGGGACTTTGTGCAGGCTGGCTGCCCCGGGGACCAGCAGGAGGCGCTGCTGGGCTTCCACGTGCAGAGCTCCAAGGAGCTGCGCAAGTCCCAGGAGTACCTGTGCTGTGAGAGGTGAGGTCTCTCAGGGGCTTCCAAGGGGCTGTATTACGGTGACTGGGGTTGGAGAGAGCGGGGAGAAAGGCTTTCTGGGGGGGCAGGCCTGGGCCGGATGTGGGGGAGGGATGATGTCTGTGTGTGGTGCCCAGGACCCCCCCTGAGGACAGCACAGACAGTATCGCTGACCTCCTGGAGCAGTTGCCGCAGCACCGTGAGCCAGGGGCCCTGCAGCAATACCTCAAGAAGGTGCGGCTGTGCAGGGGCCAAGGGGCAAGCCCACCTGGGGGTTGGGGAGGGTGCTGACTGAGAGTGGCTTGGGAGCTCCTGTGCCGAGGGCCTTGGGGTTCTTGTCCATGGATGGGGGCAGTCTTCTCTGGTCTGCTGTGCTCAGCCCCGGCAAGGCTGAGTGTCTCCCCGCCACCTTCACCCTGGCAGGCTCTGAGCAACTCCTTGCACCCCCTGGGGAAGCTGCTCCGGACCCTGATGCTGACCTTCCAGGCCACCTACTCAGGCGTGGGCGCCAACAAGCACCTGCAGGGCTTGGCCCAGGAGGAGGTGAAGCAGCATGCCCGCGAGCTCTGGGCGGCCTACCGGTGAGCCGGGGTGGGGGGTGGGGTGGCACAGGCTCACCCCTTTCCAGGTGTGGATTCTACCTGGAGCCCCAGGTGGGAGTGGCCTGAGGATTCAAGGCAGGGAGTGACAGCCACGGCCAGACTGCAATCCTCATCCAGAGGGACCTATGCCCCCACTTTGAGCTGAGCCCAGATGGGTGCTCCCCCCCCCATCTCCCGGGGACCCTGGATGCCGCAGCTCCAGGGGGTTCCCGGGTTTCCACACTGACAGCCATGGTCCCAGCTCTCAGTGCTGTGGTTCAGGAGGCCGGACTCTGCAGATGCCCGGCTCCGGGGCTCTGAGCAGCAGCGTGTGACTGACAGGGCGGCACTCCTGAGTCTATGGCATGGGGCAGCCGTGCGCCCCAGCCCCGCCACCCCTCTCTCCCTGCTTCTCAGGGGTCTGCTGCAGGTCGCCTTACAGCGAAGGGGCCAGGCCCTGGAGGAGGATGAAGATGCGGAAACCAGGTGATTGGCCCAGGCACTCACTGGTTCTCTCCGCTGGTGCATCCTGGATCCCTCCTAGTGGGCCTTGAACCTCAGGTCACAGGGCTGCTTCTAGGGTGTGTGTTACACTGTCCCTGGACCATTAGGTCAGAATGCCCATGGGTCTCCGGGGAGGGCAGGTTGCCCCAGCATGTGGACCACATCCAGGCTCTAAGTGTATCACCCCAGCCTCATGTCTCGTGTGCACGGAGAGTGAGCGGCTCCCAGGTACCCTCCTCCACCCTGCACACACAAGGGGAAACTGAGGCCATCTGCACCCCCCTCTCCCCTCCCACACACCCCAAGATTAGGAGACCAAAGGGAAAATGGGCCTTCAGGTTCCAGGCTGAGATGCTCTGGTCAGAGACCCTCTCTGGTGAGGCCCTGCAGGGGACACTGAGAGGACATGGAGGGGAGGGGTTTGAATGCTGGGAGAATGCCCCTCCAATGTCCCAGGAAACACAGCAATCCAGGGGGTAGACAGCGCTAGCTGGCCATGGCTAGTGGCCTGAAAGCTAGGCATTGGGAGCCAGGCAAACGGGCGTCGAAGTCCCACCTGCCATGTTCTGAAAGGCAAGTGAGAGGGTAAGACAGCAAAGCCACAGCTGCCCAGCAATCTTGGGGCAAACAGACAGCCTCATCTTTGTCCTTGGAGGAGGCAGCCGATTGGACGAGCCAATGAATGGATGGGGACAGGCACTAGAAGGGGTGTTGCGGCGAGACTGGGGAACCTGTCTGTTGTGGGGGGAGAGGTTCTGTGGGTTTTTAGAAGGGCGGTCCCCACGTAGTGATCCCCCAGGCCCGCCCTGCCCATCCTAATGCCCTCCATTCTCTCTCTCTCCTTCAGGGACTTGCAGGTGCACAGGCTGGTGCTGCCCCTCCTGCTGCCCAGCTTCTACCCAGAGCTCTTCACCCTCTACCTGCTTCTGCACGAGCGGGAGGACAGTCTGTACAGCCAGGGCATCACCTGCCTGAGCCTCTTCCCCGACACCAGGCTGCTGGAATTCTTGGACGTGCAGAAGTGAGCCCCTCCCCCTTGCCAGGCTGCTCAAGCCCCACGCAGGCTCCCTCCCTTCTGCAAAAAGCTGGGAGGGAGGAGGTGGCGTTAACGGGTTCGTGTACCTGGGAAGTTCCAGGGGTTACCCACTCAGGTGAAGCTGAGTCCGGGAGCTCAAACTCATAACCAGCGGATGCTTCGGTCTCTCTCTGGCACCTCCTCATGGTGGGAAACAGTGTTCCCACCCTTCCTGCTGGCACCCCACACGCCCTTCCCCCAGCTTCAGCAGAGCTCTGGATGAGACTCCAGTCGGCCCTTGCCCTGGCTGTGGCTCAGTTGCCAGGCCTGCTGCAGTACCCACCTCTCGGGGCAGGATCACTACTCTGGGCACTTAGACTGAGCCGGGGAGTGGAGAACCCTGCCCCACCCCCCAACCCGAGAAAGTAGAGGTGTTGGGCAGTTCCTGCTCCTGGGGAAGCGCAGACACCCCAGGCCCTCAGTTCACCCAGCCCCCCGACTGATCCCCACCTCACCGCTCCCACACAGGGCCCCCTGTCGCTCCATGAGGATGGTGCCCACCTGCCCACCCTCCCAAACCCCTTTCTCTTCCATCTGCGCACATTGGCCAAGCTTGTACCTGGGCTGCACCAGCTGGCTGCTGCCTAGCCTGTCTCTGCCCTACGGCGCTGAGTGTAGTCCCTTAGCCTGATCGCTGGTGGCTTGGCCTACTGCAGTCGGCCCTCTGCACCCACTTTACATCACAGGGCCCCTCCCTGCCCCGGCAGGCTCCTTCCCTTGCTGGTGCAGCACCACAGAGCACAGGGGAGGCATTTCACCCCACCCCCCCATGCCTAAGGTGACCAGATTTTAACATTGGTAAAGCAGGACACCATTGATAAAACTCATCTCCTGGTGAAATAGCCACATGGCAGCCGAAAACCGTATACCCTAGCTTGTCGTGCATTTTTTCCAAAAATCGGGATTTCTTTAAAACACCATGGGATGCAGGAAAAATTGTTAAAAATTGGGACTGTCCCCGCCAAAAGCGGGACGTCTGGTCACCTTACCCATGTCCCGCTTTCCCTTCTGAGCACAGGTCCCGCCCTGTCACCCCCATGCCCCGCCTTCCCTTCTGAGCGCAGGCCCCGCCCTGTCACCTTGTAAGGATTCCTTGTCTCACTCTGCCTTTCAGGCACCTGTGGCCCCTCAAGGACCTCACACTGACCACTAATCAGGTGAGCCGGTGGGCCCACCACATCCCTCCAGGAGCCGGAGGCCCAGGCCTGGAGTTGGTCCTCCAGCTGGCCAGAGACCCCTGAGTCTTAAGAGAGGGCCCAGGGCTTCCAGGGACCCCCTGCCTCCCGACTGCTGGCTGGGGGCTGCTGGGGAGCTGGGTGGGAGCGGAAGTGCGGGAGGGGCACAGCTGGCGGATGGCCAGACGCCTGCCCCATCGACCGCTTGCTGGGCTGCGCGATGGTGGGTGAGGTACTTGCTAACCGAGCCTCAGTTTAGGGAGGTGCCGAGAGGGGGAAGCAGGCCGTCTATGGGCCCTGGGTCTCGGAGTGAGCCCCATCTGCCCCATTGGTGGGCCTGTTAGCTGGTTCTGGGGCCCAACCGCAGACATAAGTAACGAGCCAGCAACTCAGGGGTGGAGCCCAGCCCTCAAGTGTCCCGGGGCATGGAGCGTGAGCAAGCTGGAACCGCTGACAGCCTGGAACTGGCCGGTCCATGTGGCTGCTAGGTTTGCTCTCTCCCTTCTATATTTGATTGTCCCAGCCCTCTGGGGACAACTGACCCCGCTTTACCCTTGAGTAAACTGAGGCCCATTAGCTGTGACTTGCCCTTGGCCATGAACGTCAGGGCTGTGCTGGAGGTCTGGCTGGCAGGGCCCGAGCTAAGTGACAGGGTAAAGGGTGGGTAGCTGAGGGCTCAGGGAGAGGTGACTGGAGTTAGGGGGGCCCTGTCCCTGCCCTACCTGGCTCCCCTCATCGTGCAGAGAGACTCCCTGGTCAGGGACAAGTGCTTCCTGTCTGCCATTGAGTGCCTGCAGAAGATGATGTAAGTCCCCCCTGGGGAGTGGGGTGGGGGCGGGGCAGCAGTGTTGAGACGGAGCCTTGACTGGAGCCCCGGCCTCTGCAGCACCACAGTGGACCCCCGAGAGAAGCTGGAGGTGCTGGAGAGGACGTATAGGGAAATCGAGGCCACTGTGTCTCGGGTGCTGGGCCAGGAGCACAAGCTGCCCATGGACGACCTGCTGCCCCTGCTCATCTACGTGGTGTCTCGGGCCAGGTGAGAGGTTGGCGCCTGCGGGCTGGGCCCTCCTCACGCCCTTCCAGCTTACGGTCTGCGGGCAGCGGTTCTCAACCTTCCTCAAGCCGCGAGACTTTCATGCAGGTCCTCCTGTGTTGGTGACCCCCCCCAACCATAGAATTATTTTCGTTGCTACTTCATCACTGTCATTTTGCTCCTATAATGAATGGGAACCACAGCTTCGGGGGTCTTAGATGGGAGTATGGAGACAGATGGGAAAGCTAAGGCCCAGAGAGGGGCACCCCATTCGGTCCTGTGGGGGGCTACCCCTAGAGCCCAGCCCCTCTCCCAGCCCCTGACAGACCCTCTTTCTGCATCTCTCCCTCCCCCTCTGGGCGGGGGGATGATCTCCAGAATCCAGCACCTGGGGGCAGAGATCCACCTGATCAGGGACATGATGGACCCCACGCACACAGGAGGCCTGTATGACTTCCTGCTCACGGCCCTGGAGGTGAGGGGCCGAGGCCTTGATGGAGGTGGGGCGGGCGCAGCTCATCTTCGCAGACCCATGTGTCTCCGTGGGAGGGGCCCTCACACACCCAGCTCCTGGCCTGTTGGTGCGGGCTGGGGAGGGGGGCCTTGAGCGCAGACCCAGGGGCTACAGACAGTGGCTGAGGGATGAGCCGGAGATGTGGCTGGTCCAGGCTGGGGATGGGCTCAGAGCCTGTGTGTCTGGCCAGCCGTGGTCAGGCCCGCTGACCCCAGCCTGCCTGCCTCCCACCAGTCCTGCTACGAACACATCAGGAAGGAAGATATGCAGCTGCACCGCGTGCCCAGCCGCTGGACCGCCTGGTAGCCTGGCCCCGCTGACACTGACCATGAGACTCCCTGTGGGAGCAAGCCTGGCAGGCTGGACCCTGTGCTGCCCAGGGCAGTGCAGAGGAGGAGCTGGCCTGATTGTAGGTGCAAAGCAGTTACTCTTCTCCCCTGGCAGTGGTGGGGGTGGGGGCAGCTGGCTTCTCTTGCCCAAGCTTTGCTCCCGGGTCATGGAACCCCTCTGCACCTTGGTGTCACCATGTGCCGATGCTGGACTGGACAGTCTGGGCCTTTCCAGGCTTTGTGTGCATCTGGCTGAATTCCTGGGGTACAACTTGGATCTCGGGGGGCGGGGTTGTGGTGCTCACGGGACCTCTTGAGTCACCATAGGTCTGGCTCCCTGCTTCTCCGCCCCTGCGTGAAGCTTCCAGGCAGCTCAGGACCGCTCCATTGACCATGGCTGTTTACTGAGAATGTTCTCCTAGGGACCACTCTCTAGGGCTGTTTGCTCTGAAGAGTCTTCGACCCTGACAAGCTGTGGGGTGACCTGCAGTTGAGTGGGTGGGATGTGGGAGGCGGGGGTGGTCCCTGAACTGCTGTTCACTGCCCATGATGTAAATGGGGTGCTGGGCAGTGTGACAGGGGCCAGGCTACCAAGCGGCAGGGGAATAAACAGCCTTGCTTCACCTGCTGCCGGCAAGCTCTGAGTGGCGTGAGAATCACACACCTAGGACCTTTGTGCACCTGCGTGAGGGAGCTCACCTGAGGCCCAGGCACCTTGGGGAGGGGAGGGCTTGAATGAAATAGTGGGTTAGTGTGGGGTCGAGAGACTCTGGGGTTGTATCTTGGGACAGTTCTGTCCCCACTGGGCTTCAGTTTCTCCTCTGTACACCAAGGGGCTTGGGCCAGGTGGCCTGCAGGGCCTCCTCAGGACCGAACTGGAGATGTGATGGTAGGTGGCGTCACCTACCTTCCTAGAGCTGAGCCCCCTCCTGCCGCCCACATGCTCTGGACCATAAGCAAAGCAAACCGTGCCACCGCTCTTGGCTCCAGGTGTCCCTTCCATATGGAAGCTCTACCTCAACCCATGAGGAGAGCTGAGAAGTCCGGTCATGCCCGAGTCTGTGGCTGAGCCTCAGGTGGCACCACCACACCACAGTGACACTGAAGGGGCTTTTGAACTGATGGCGCGATTACCTGGCCGGATCTGTCCCGCTGCTTCTGGGACAAGGATCCCATCCTTGCTGCAGGCGGGAATGGCCAGGGCCCTTCCCACCCCACTCCCGTTGAGCTTGGTCCTCTGCGCAGGGCCTCGGGCAGCACGGAGCCCGGGAAGACAACCGCAGGACAGAGGTCCTTTACGTTAGACTGTTGAGGACATGGACACCTGAGAGAGGACAGCTGGAGCCGGGTACCCAGTGGCTATGCCCCGGGGCTCATGGAGCCAGGTTTCTGCGGTTGGGGCGAGCCCACCCCCAACACACACACCCCACCCCTCCCTGCTGCTGATGCACCTGCTGAGGCTTACCTGTGTGTGCACTTAAAAGTCTATTGGGATTGGTGTCCCACGGGTTCCAGAACACTGCCGACTGGGAGCGCCAAGCCTGGACCCAGGCTGTGAAGGGACCCAGACACCCGCCCTCCTCCAAGTGCCAGCATTGGAGTGTGAGAGACGTAGACACCAAGAGGGCAAAAGACCTCCGTGAGCAGGTATGCCCCAGGCATGGCACCTCCCCTGGGGTGCAGCTCCTGGGACTTACCCACCCACTGCCCACGCTGCCTGCAGCGCTGGTCTGAAGTGAGCTGTATCACCCCTCCCCCCCACCCACACACCAGCCTGCAGCCCAGGTGGCCTCGCCTACCTCCCAGACAACTGCAGCCCTGGTCCTGGTCCACCCCTCGGCCCTACTTTCCTTACATCCTCCACTGCCTCCACTGGCCAGACTGCACCCCTCGTTCCCCAACTCTTGCACCCCTGACTCCTGTCCACCCAAAGCACCTTCCTGCCCACCAGGTCCCAGGCTCCTCTCAAAAGCCCCCTGCCTGGAAGCCACACATCTACAAGCAAGGAGCTACCGCCACACCCTGTCCCGCCCCATCACGCTGCATGTGTGTAGCAAGCCACCCGTTGGCAGGTGGGCAGCTGCTCCCACCCCTCTCTCTGCACCCAGTGCTCACAGCCTCCCACAGCAGGAGGGGGACATGGAGCACGGGGTTGATGGGAGAGAGGTTAGACCTTGAAGGACCCTAAACCCCAGTGAAGACGGACGCTGAAGACCAGCCAGGGCAGCATCTGTGTCAGCAGCAGCCCCGCAGGAGTGGTCAGGACACCCGGGTCTGGAGACCTCGGCCAGATGCAGGCTGGGAGCAGAGAGGAAGTTCATAGCAAGACCTCAGAGAAAAAGAAGAGGCCAGCCTTCCCGCTATCGCCAGGACCCAGACGGACCTCACCTGAGCACCAGGGGCGCAGACCTAGACCTCCATGTTCTCGACCCTGCCCACACCTGGCAGCAATGCTGCCCTTGGCGCTGTGCCCCCCCCCCAACTCTCCCCAGGCATGGTGCTGAGCTTCAGGGGTAGAAAATGCCCTTGGGCCCATTGGCAGTGGATGGCGATGGGGACTCCCCGAAAAGAACGAGGGCACGGGTGACCCTGTGAAGCCCCCTCCCTTCTCAAGCACTCACCAGGGGCCCTTGGGTGGCAGGCCCTGCTACGAAGCAGCGTGCAATCTGGAACACAAGTGGGCCCCGGCCTTCCTCTCACATTGGGCTTTCCCAGGCAGAGAAGAGGCAGTCAGCTGAGACCTGAGCCCACAGCTCACCCACAGCAAGCACTGCTGGCAGAGCCCCTGTTGACTGGCATCACTCTTGAGGGTGTGGGGAGCCAGTCCTCAGCCGGGCAGCCCCAGGACTGCAGGCACATTCAGCTCTGTGTCCTGACCAGCACAAGTTAGGTTCAGGGGCCGCGGCGGGGCGGGAGTCAGCTGGTTGGATGAAACAGCCCCCAGGTATCCTAAAAACGAATTCATGGCAGGGAAGCAGTGCATGAGCTCTGCTTACTTTGTTGTCCTTAAGACCCATGGCCACAGAGTCCATTCTGACCCGTGGAGACCCGATAGGGCAGAGTAGAATGACTCCCTAGGGTTTCCTACCTGGGACTTTTAAAGCGAGCAGGCAGCCTCGGCTCCTCCGTGGAGCTGCCCGTGGATTCAAACTGCTGACCTTGAGGTTAGTAGCCCAGTGTGTAACCACCAGGGCTGTCGAGTCCCCATAACCTACTGAGCACCAGCTAAAAGGCACCTCTTTCTCGGGGTTCTGGGTGCCTGCTATGGGGCCCATTATCTGAGTTTCTGGGTTTCAGTGTTTCCAGCACCTTCCCACTTGGGAGAAGAAGCTGCTTCACGATTTGCCTCTTCAGTTCTCCATTTTCTGGGTATGGTCGGCAGGGCACAGCTCTCCAAAGAGAACCATGTGCCCCTCCCCAAAGCCGGGGCTATGCCACTTCTCATGGCAAAAGAAGCCTGGCTCATGCACCCAAGTTAAGGATCTTGAGGTGGGGAGAGATTATTATGGGTTGCCTAGGAGGGCCCAATGTAATTACAAAATCAAAACCCAAGCTCACTGCCATTGGGTCAATGCTAACTCATAGCGACTCACCCTGCGGGTTTGTGAGACTCGTTGTTTTCCGTCAAAAAGTCGACAGAAAGCCCAGTCTGTCTCCCTTGGAGCTGCTGAAGGGTTTGAACTGCTAACCAGGCAAATTGCAGCCCAACATATACCCACTACACCACTAGAGCTCCTTCCATGAAACCACAAGTGTCCTTAAAAATGGAAGAGGAAGACAGATGGGAATTGGGGGATATACGACTGGAAGAGTGGTCAATCGAAATGTTGTTTGTTTGGAGTCTTCTGATGCCTGATCCCTTCGACACCTCGTGATCACACAGGTTGGTGTGCTTCTTCCATGTGGGCTTTGTTGCTTCCCTGCTAGCTCTGAGCGGGAATGCCATCCTTGGACCAGGGTGGGCCAGGATTCTGTTCTCTCTCTCTCTCTCTCTCTTAGTTTGCTCCCGTGTGGTCTGAGCAGACCCGCCACTCTCCCCGGGCTGCATCTCCAGTGCTGTCCTCTAGTGCAATCTTCTGTGGAGGGGGTTGACGTAGCTGGGATTGGGGCCGGCCCGGCCTCAGACCTCCCCGTTGGTTCACTGCTTCATGCCAGTATGTTGCCCTCAAGGCTGGGCACATCAGAAGACCCAAAACAAACAACTCTTTCTATGTGAATGAGGGGGGTCAGAATGGAGACTCAAAGCCCATCTGTAGACAATTGGACATCCCCTCACAGAAGGGTCACAAGGAAGGGACGAGACAGCTAGGGACAGGGGACAAGGAAACACACATCATGGCTCTAGTTCCTGAATGTTCCCCCACCCCCGTCCCCCATGAAGACTACCATGATCTAGTTCTGCCTTTCAAATCCTGCTAGACCAGAACATGTACACCGGTACAGAGAAGAGTTCTAGACACACAGAATCCAGGACATAGAAACCCCTCAGGACCAATAAAGAGAGTAGTGATACCATGAGGGTAGGGGGAAGGTGGGGGAGAAGGAGGAGAAAGGGGGAACCGATCGCAGTGATGGACATACACTCCCCCACCCTCCAGGGGGATGAACAACAAAAATGTGGGTGAAGGGAGACAACGGATAGTGTAAAATATTAAAATAACGAACACACATGAAAAACACGAAACACTTGGGAAAGAGAAAAATACTTAGGAAACCAGAGAGGTGAACGACTTGTACGAAGGTTAACTGTGGCGCCCTCGTCCCGGAAATCAAGAGAGACCGACACACATGGAAGAAGAGTCCATGGTCATGGATAAGGAAGCTTAATGTTGGGAACACGTCAGGGCTGCCCAGGCCCATCTGTCAACCCAACAAAACCAGAGGCCCTGCTGCATTCGCTCACCTGCTCTCTGGGGGCCCGTGGACCCACATACGCACCCGGAGCTTCAGACACAGGAGACAAGCCACACCCCCTCCAGGTCTTTCTCCTTAAAGGGGATTGATGTAGCTGCCCCCCACACCAGTCAGCAAAAGGAGCATCTGGTGGATGGAACAGTTGCTTTTAAGGTGAAATCTCGGGTCACCGAACCAAACATCTTTGTTTGA